CCCCAAAACCCCAAAACCCCAAAACCCCGTAATACAAATTAAAGAGATTTTAAGGATAAACATGCTTTTATGGAAATTAAGATTCTGTAAATCAAAATATAATTTGTGTCAGCTATCTAGTATTATTGTTATTATCGTAGCCTATATTCAAAATTACATTCTAAGATGATTGCTGATCTGCTTTGTAAACTAGCATACTGTATTTCCATGAATACTCATCAAATTTGCTGTCCATCATTTTCTTAGCCTAAAAACTCATAGTATCTATGATACATAGCCCCTTCTTATCCTTGAGAATAGCATAGTGATTTTTAATAAGGTTGTAATCTTCAATAAGTAAGAGAGAATTATAAAAGAAATCGTGATTAGGGTTGGATATTAGTTTTATCACTGCCTTCTTCATGATATCCAATACTTGTATGAATTAATTTTGATCTATGCAGACTAATAATATTTCAGGCTAAATCTCTAAGGCACATAATATAACCTAATCTGGAAAGTAAATATGATCCTTAGATTCTAGAATAATAGGGATATCATCTCTTGTGAAATTAACTGAGTTAATAAACAATCCTCCCTGTGTAGCAATGGCTAATTCATTTTTTGTAGAGTAAGTGAGGACACACATATCAATAATCTTTTTCTTTTAGCTGATTTAAGTTTAGCTCAAATGCTTGTTAGTTTTTTAATCAATGAAGTCTATGATGCCGTTGTTACTTCCTGCTATCACATACTTGTTTTTGTAGGAAATTAATTTCCTCACGATAGTTGAAGTTCTAATTTAAGAAACTAGTGTAAGACCAAGTGATGGGGATTCATTGTAAACTTAAATCTCCTTGTTAAATCCACAATAAAGTAGATTCTGAATCACGACATTGCAAATACACTGGCTAGGAATAGAAAAGTACTATTTGAATGTTAAAGTCTCCCCGTTAATCAAGACAAAGTTAAGATCCTAGCCTGAAAGGACAAGGGTATTGGATATGGGGAATCTCGCTATGTTTCTATATGCCTCTCCTTTGTCCTAGTGTACCATAAGCATATCACATTCCAGATTTCCAAAAAAGTCATTAGAACTTTGAATTGAATCCCCTCCACTTACTTCTTTAACAAGACTCTGAGGGTTTTCTCTCTTTTATTCTTCATCAATATTAGACTAAGATCTAGAGAGACCTTTTGATGTTATTTATTCAAATTAGTTTTAGTAATATTCATTGGCTTTAGGAATATTTGCGTTTTTATTGACTTATTCATGAGTTTACATGGCAATGTCTAGTAATAGAACAATTTTATTTTCAAGTGCTCTAAGAGGTACAATTGAGTCGCTTAACTTACCATAGTTAGATGAATTTTACACCTCATTTTGCTTGAGGAAATCACCAACTATTCCCTTAAGCTAGCTAAAGTCTTTCTAATTTTAAGATTCTAAGTTTAAAAATAACTAACCATTATCTGAAATCATATTGGCTTAAACGTCTAGTTTATTTGAAATTTGCACACTTTTATTCTAAACATCACCTATCTCAGATATAATTTGCTGACTGTATTAGACTTATGTCATCTTAAGTTATTCATAAACATCTTTTTAAATCTAATCCTAATAGACCTAACTTTATCTGATCTCTTTCAATTTATCAAGAGTAACTGTGATTTATTGTCTAATATTTTGACTTAGAAATTCAATATCCTTAGCTATTTATGAGGTAATCTGCTCAATTTCATTCCTTGAATGTTTGATTAATAGCTTCTCTTAGATTTCATTCCATTAACCAAGACTTGAAAACTAATCATTAATCATGCTTTGAATTTATTAAACATTTTAAGATTGGGGTTGAGAGGTATAATCAATCTTGTTATTGCCCATACTCTGTGAAATTTGTTGCCCCATTTATGTTTGCTAGTAGAGTTAACTTTTTACCTTTTCTTCTAAATCTCTAATCTGTTAATCAACAGATTTGATACTCTCAAGAATTAAACCTTAACTTTGGTTTTAGTATTAGAGTACCTTACTATTCTCAAATGATAGATTATTCAACTGATTCTGAAGTGCCTCAAAGTTTTTAGAGTAATCTTTATCTGGTGCTACATTGTTAATTACCGGTTCATGATCAATAATCTGAGATTGATTCAAGAACATCGATTGATTCATTAATTCAGTTTGTTCTTTGATAATCTCTTGCATTTAAATCTGCTTGATAATGTCATCCTTTATTGTTTTGATATTATTGTGAACCATATCAGTCCTAATTTAGTGATTGTGAATGTCAAACTTAATATCAAGTGTCTGAGTGTCTAAGAGAAGCTTTACCCTATTGACTATAGAATCTTCTAATGTTTCGAGATCTCGGTTTCTCATTTGAGGTCTTGGCTACATTTAGAAGTCCGTGGCTTTACTAATGGAGCTGATGTCAAGCATTGGATCAAATTATTGTATATTAAACTGGTGTTGTTACAAATGTTGGTTTTGCTGCTATTACGGCAATTTGAACATCTCAACCTCATCTAAAAGGTCTAATGTAGTTTATTCTGATTTAAAAAGTGTTTTTAAGTCTCCTACTAATTAAGTCAGTAAGATTAGCGGCTGACTATTTCCAGCTTCAAGTGATAGGAAATTGTTTAATCTAGATTCAAGAGTGTTTTTAAATAATGAAAGTTTTGAGTTCTCCATTTGTATTAAGTTAATAATTATTAATATCCTATTGAGCTTGAAATAAAAAGATATGTTTTTCTTTTTGTTGATCTATTTATGTCATTGGGGTTTTGGGGTTTTGGGGTTTTGGGG